GATTGGATACGCCAAAATGGAGAACATCAGTATAACATTTGTTTTATTTTCTTTCATATTCAGGCAGGAGGATCATGTATGCTTTTGGTTAAATGTGAATCAGTTTCTTGTGAAATATATGTACTGTAAATCTTTATAAACCTCTTGCTTTGATCAACATTGTGTGATTAAATTAAATGTTCTAACTCAATTTCTTCCTTATATTAATGTGGATTAATAAGGTTGGATATAGTCCCTTTCCATATATTTATCTCTAAACTTTTAAAATATTATATCCATTTGATATCCTCACAATACATCTTGTACATTTAATATATCTATACTTATTCATTAAACTATAAACTAAATTATTCAGCATATCTTACTGAATAATTGTTATTATTTAATTTGAGGAAGCAGGGAATCCCAATAGTTTAAACTAATGGTTCACTTAAAAATATGAAATTGTAATTATGAATGCAAAGCATTGAATGATAAAGTAACATCCTCTATGGAGACTACTCTATTATCTTGTCAGAAAACCATTATTACACTGTAAAACTCAAATAATTTGTTAATAGATTTGCCAGTGTTAATGATACTATGAGTTAATTATCTAGCTACCATCCCATTTTTCACTTTGTATTTGTATTATATAGTGCTTTGTGTGCTGTTAATCTTAATTGTGATTATTTTATCTTATAAATATCACACACTATTGTTGCATCAACCTGGTTTTTTATTATATATGTCTAAATCTCCATGGGAAAATGTATCTCTCTTTGTATGAGTGTATGTAGATACACATACAAACTTCTAAAACACATTAGTATCTATTAGCACATACTGTTCTTTCTGAAGCATAAGAAACATTATGTATAAATATGAAAGATAAACTATAATACTCTCTCTAGATATTTTTGAAATCCTTATTGCCCTGGAAAGAACATATTTCAGTTCAAACTATATTGGATTGGACCAATCATATCCACAAAGTTGTATGTTTTTTTCTTGAAATGTAGTAGGAAATATAGAGATACATTGTAGAATCTTTCTTCAAATACAGAAGTGATTCATTTTTATATAGATATTGTAATATAAATGTACATTTTTTTTAGTATTGAGCACTCAGATTAATTAGATCAGGGGTTTCAAAGTTCATCATTTGGTGAATTATTTTCATGTATTTAATACAGAACTCAGATAATGTGACCCAGAAAATAATTTCATATATTCTAAACTTAGATCTTGAATGTGTAAGTTAAGAACAAGAACATTTTTACAAGGGGTTTACAAATCTATTATTGAGATAAAATTGAACATTAATCACAATTGATGTTTGGAGGTGTTCATGTCAATGTATTTTTCTCTTAAGATAGAACAGCTGGAACTTGGTAGCATTATTTGATTCTATAAGATTCTTTTTTTAAAAAGGAACTAAATTTTGTGATTGTGGTTATAATACAAATTGTATAACATAAATGTAACAATCAAAATATAATATGATTAAATTTGAGAGTTAAAACAAAATCTCTCAAAAATAAACTATCATCAAGCAGTATCCTTATAGTAATAAGCAAAATTGATGGTAACTGACTTGAAATTGACAGATAACTTCATTCAGTGGCCTAGTAGATGTTACATAAAAGGAGCATGAACATCAAGATTGGAAGCAATGCACAGATTAGGAGCTTTGGGCTTCAGTCAATCAACAGGATTGCCCACAGAGAAAAGAGAACCACTGCTGACAAATCCCTTCACTTCTAGTCCCTATACAGTGTGCACAGTTATTGGGCAAGTGAGCATTTTGAACAAATCATCATTGAACACCTTGTACTTCTGGGCACTCCAGGTAGGTTGCAGTTTTGAAATATGACAGCAGTGGACGATAATGAGTTCCTGGTAGCTTCACGTTTGATTCTTCTAAAATCTTTGGCAGTTAATGTGCATCTTTTTTTCTCAACATGTTTCTTATGACCCTGTTGACAATTTGCAACAAAATGTTCTGTGATCACGCCCCAATATCTTAGCGATTTCAAGATTGCTGAATCCCTCTGAAAGACTTTTTACAATTTTTGACTTTTCAGAGTCAGTTAAATCTCTTTTTTGGTCCATTTTGGCTGAGGAAAAGCTGCCTAATAATTATGCACACCTTGATACAGGGCGTTGATCTCTTTAGGCCATACCCTCCCTCATTATACAAATACACATCACCTGATATATGTATATCCACTAAGCATTCAAGTTTATGCAGCTTGGAGGTGGAAAATATGTATGAAAATGATACGGTCAAAATACTTACTTGCCTAATAATTGTGCACACAGTGTAGATAGTCCGTAAGGATACCATGATCTGTTATATTGAAAGCTGCCAATAAATCAGTAAAAATGAGGATGATGGCAACACCCTTTATCCTGGTTCTACCATAGCAAATATATAATTCTGATGAATGCTGTCTCAGTACTATGTCTTGCTCTAAAACTCAACTGAAAAGTGTCCAGACAATCGATTTTTGGGATTGTCCAGGGATATTTGGAACTGTAGCTCAACCATCTTCTTGTCAACCTTCCCTAGTAAGAAAAAGTTGAAGATTGGACTTCATAACAATAGCACTTAGACTTATATACTGCACCACAGAGCTTTACAGCACTCTCTGGGAAGTTTACAAATGTAAGCATATTATCCCCAACAATCTGGGTCTTCATTTTACCAACTTTGGAAGAATGGATGGCTGAGACAACCTTGAACCTCTTCAGGATCGAACTCCAAGCTGTGGGCAGTTAGCTGCAATAGTGCACTCTAACCACTGTGCCACCAGAGTTCTTGATGGCAGAATATTCTCCTAGTGGCCATGCAGAGGAACCTGTGACTTGCCCCTCTCACCAGCAAGGAATGAGTCATCTTAAAGAAGGCTGCTGCATAAGTATTTGCAAATTTAAGGTTTAAAGAATTAACTACGTTTGGCCGCTCTTATAACTTCATCTTATCAAAAGGGCTTTAAAGTAAAATTGAGGAGGGGAGGGGGCCCAATCTTCACAACCTTGGGAATCTAATTCTAATGATGGAAAGAATGGAAATGCTCTTATAACTGAAATATAATTGCTGGCATGGGCTCTTACTCACGCTTGGTCTAGTTTACTTTCATTTTCCTCTAACGGTGTTATATATGTCCATTCTACAACTTCATCTCCTGGAACTCCTTGAAAATCAAGGAGCACCCCAAGATTAACAAACAGCAAGAGACTGTATAGAAACAATCTGATCCAAGGCCGTCATCATGTGCCTTTCCCAGGATGCTACTAAAGTCTTGGGCCAACTGCTTACCAGATCCTTGGCACCTGGAGTGGACCAATGTAGCAAGCCCTGTCACTCTGCAGGGTGAGATAGCAACAACCAAACTAAAAACAATGAGAGAATGATCCAATCATAATAAGGTATTGATGTTAATGGCCACTCCCAGATCATAACACAACTGCCTGAGACAAAAAATACATCTGTGAATCCCCCATGTGGGTTGACAACTTGAGTCAATATCACGATAAGTCACGAACTCCTGAATTGCACTAGATTCTATGTCACTCTCAGTGAAGTTCAAGTGCTCAAGATCTAACAATGTAGGAGACACAACAGCTAACCCAATACCATTACTTAGGTAGTGATGATGCTATGCAGTAGGGACTTACAACAGTTCATTTAGTGACTGTTTGAAGTTACAATGGCATTGAAAATGACTGTCGCAGCATGATCAAAAGTCAGACCCTTGGCAGTTGACTTATATTTATGACAGTTGTAGTTTCCCAGGGTCATGTCATCATCTTTTGCAAGCAAGTCAATGGCAAAGTCAGATTCACTTAGCAACCATGTTATTAACAACTGCAGTGATTCACATTAAACTCTGGCAAGAAACATTGTAAAATGAGGCAAAACTCATTTAACAACTATCTTGCTTACCAACATAAATTTTGGGCTCAATTGTGGTCATAAATCAAGGACTATGTGTAAAGACCAAGCCAGATGTTCTCCAGATCTTAACTTCAACCAGAAGATCTTACATTGGATTACGTGCAGAGCAGGGCATCTGGAAGCCATCAAAGCTTCTCAAATGCTAACTGCCAAAGCTCATGTCAGCGTCAGACGGGCACATCTCCAAGATGGTACATCCCCCCCCATCCAAGTGTGAGAAGAAATTTTTGTTTTTCAACAAAACAAATGTTGATTCATTGGATTTACCTGAATTAGCTGAGGTTCTACTTTAGTGGATTGTTAACTCCCCCACCCACCCAGTTTAAGTATTCTTGAGAGAAGGGGTCTTTCAGTTTTGGATATAAAGGCTTAACATAATTTGCACCACCAGTGTTCAACAGTGCAGTCAGATAGATGGGTGAGTTGACAACCAGAAAAAGATTTGTGGAAGCACATATATCTGCTCTTTTAAAAAAAAAAAAAAAAAAAAAAGATAAACATTTGATGAGAAATGAAAAATATTAAACAAGACAGTTTAATAAAAATTATCCTATCTTTTTTAGACTTATCTGCATACAGTGGTTGGAAACATCTCACATGCTTACGATGTTATGTCTCGGTAGAAATATTTTTCATCAATGTTTTGATTTTATGTAATATCTAGAATAAAAATGTATTGTTCTTATGATAGCTAGAAGGAGAAGCATACAAATGCTAAAGTGTGCTAACATGTTTCAGGAGAAAAATAATTGAATGGGGATGTTGAGATTTATGTATCAAAAGCATGAGCAGTTCTCGGAGAAATGATTTAAAGCTAAATTCAACAGAACTGCATTCACTTCCTGGAATTGTGTTCTCATCCATTCTTAACCACAGAGCCAGTCTCTTTCTCAGTCCAACCTACCTTACAGAGCAGTTGTTATGGTGAGAAAACATTGTGTTTGCCCTCTTAAGCTCATGAATAAAAAACAGAAAATAAATCAGCATGTTGTGGTGAACTTACAGCTTTTATCTTACATAATGTTGCTGAAAATGATGTCTTTCTGTTTTCTCATAGAATATGAGTTAGAACAAGGATGTCCAGTGGATACTCAGATTTCACTTGAAGATATGACCTGGAATCACAGTAAGCTATGTGAAGCCACCTGATATGTGAACTGAAATATTAATGTATAAATGAGCACTGCCAGAATAGCAAACAAGAAGCTGGTCGTAGAGGTAACAGCTGTTTGTTTACACCCCAGAAACTTGTATTCAGAAATTTGTGATCCCCTGAAACTGATTATTCTGTTTAGAAATGAAGTCAATCAGAAGGTGTTAGAAATTACATTCATTGCATTGTCTAACTTTCTATTAAAAGCATCCGTACCAATAATTACCTCATCCTGTTGGCGCAAATTCTACCAGTTAAATGTTTGTGTAGTATGAAATATTTTTACATAATTTAGATTTACTGTTTGTAAAAAGAAACAGTTCTTGATAATTGCATCACTGCCCTTCATTATTCTTTTCTAGTCATAACAAACTAGTGCATTTTGATTGCTCTTTTTATACTGTCCCAGCTTTGATACGGTTGTGGTATACAGCAATCTGCATTCTGTAATGATTTATTGTGTATATGGTATTTAACTGACTTGATAAGTTGATAGAAAACCTTTCAATTACTAGTGCAAAATATTTTTTTTTAATATATGCAAGTGATTGTAAGCATACCTGTGAATTAAGTTACAGGTATTTTACCCGGTTTTTCCCCTCTAAGCCCCTTGGAAGACTGAGGAAAAAGCTGTACCACACAAGGCATTTACAAACTTGTCTCTCAACCACAACTGAAGGCTTTGTAGAATAGCAAAAAGCTGTACTACACAAGGCATTTACAAACTTCTCTCTCAATCACAACTGAAAATATGTTTTCTCTTGTGGTATTGCCTGATTTCATTCCATGTGGGAATATAAAATTATACTATAGGTTCCTTTCTTATGCAAATTATTATTCTACTTTAAATATTTAATTCAGGTTCTGTTCAATATAAGCATTTCAGTGGTATATAAGGAATTGTTGAAGCTGATTTATTTTGTTTCAACAGATGATCACTGTTATTCTTTCACGTGCCGATGTGGTGGAAAATACACTGTTTCCAAAAATGAAGTTGAAGATGCTTCACTAGTAAACTGTGACACATGTTCATTAGTTATAGAAATTATTTGATGTGCCATCCAGGAAATACATCAATGCGGCTGGTATTGTAAATAGCTGGAATAGTAAAGAATAGCTCAATCTGAAATGGTTTAATTCTTGCATTCCAAATGGTTGAATGTGTCTGAAAATTCTCAGAGAAAAGATATATGATAATTTTTAGGCTCTCTATTTAATTAAAAATTACAAATAATCCTCAATCATGATACATTATTTATTGAATATAAAAATATAAATCACTTTTGAAAGGTTAAAAAAAGATGACAACATAAATCAATCTTTACAAATCCTGTGACTGTTGGGACTTGAACGCAGAAACCCAAAATCCGTCAAAGGCCAAAGCTGCAAAATAAAATAAGCAATTACTTAACATACCTCTGAGCATCAGTCATCCTTTAGCTTTTCTCTATTTCAACTGAAGTGTTTAATGCAGTAAACTGAACATTTTAAACAGGCTAGTAGCACAGATAAGACTTATATATGCTCTTCACTTAAACTACACTGTTGAAGAATTTCTGGAGTGAAATATGTTTATTTAATAAGTAAAATATTTGGAATTATCTGGAATGAATTATAGTTTGAATCTCTAGTGCTTCTCTGGATACATGTCATGGCAAAAATACATACTCGATGGTGATTGATGAAGATTTCAGATGATATATTAAGATTGTTTAGAAAATTAGAATGTTTATGTTGGTTTAATATTCTCATGTTTTTTCTGTTCAAGCTAAATATTTTAATTGTTAAAGATAATGTGCATATATGTATGACCAATTCTCATTACTTTAACATGTATATATGACTGTTATGGAGGATTTGTTTTCTTTCTGCATACATCAAAAAATCATTGGTACTCATTAGGCAGACACTCATCTAAAAGAAATAGGTGAATTGTGAATAAATATTATGCGATATGAGAGTTAACCAGCAAACTACAATTGCATAAGAAATTATACAGATGGAATACACCCAGGCTGAGGCAGGAAGCTGAAATAATTTTTAAAAATATATCTATCATTAAAGTCTTCTGTTTATGGGAGAATGGCATAAAACCATTTTTATAAAATGATCAATCACACTAAAAGCATGTTACACACGCCTGATATTGAAGAAGAAAAAGGAAGGCTTCTATAAGGAAATACTACAGCCATTTATGTTATTTGACACTGTGAGCATGTAAATATTGATCTGGAAGATTTTATACTTCGATTTCTGAAAAGCTTTTAGCAAATCCCTCACTGAGGATTTCTGAATCAACTACACAAACAAGGGAGTTCAGGTCCTCTTAGGAATCAATAACTGGTTAAAGAAAAGCAGTAGCCAGTAGGAATAACTGAAGAGAAGCAAGCAGTGGGGCCGCTGAAGGTGTGGAATGAGTAGTATTTTAGTACCTGTTGTGGAAGTGAAAAAGCCCGCCCCCTTGTGCATAAGGCAGGTCACCGATTTTCTACATATCATATCATATATATGCTACCAAGGAAGACATTATAATATTTGGGAAGCAGGAAGGGAAGCCCTATTGTGTGAATTGTTGGAGCCAAAGTAGTATATTTAGTATTGTATACTTGCTGCAAAATAAAAAAAAATGATGGTTCAACATATTGCTGTTTTTATATGTGAAAAAAAGAAATCAAACAAAGAGTTGTTGAGAGGAGAGAGATTGTGTGTGTGTGTGTGTGTGTGTGTGTGTGTGCGCACGCGCGCACATATTTTTATATAGGTAAATACTTAACTAATACTTTGTAAAGGCTTAAACACAATCTTGTTTAAGAAGATCATGTTCTTTGTAACATTTTAACACCCTGGTCCCTGTGTTTCATTAGCTAATGAACATGTCTCATTGTCGTAGCTTAAGCCCAAAGACTATAACAACTGTTAAATTAACACATTTTAGATTGCAGGAATATACCTTAAAGCAAATTCGTCCTCTTATCAATCCATATGGAACAGGACCATAACACCTGGAATCTGTAGAATTCCTGAGATTATCACCTTCTAACCAAACATGTCCTTTAGGTACCTGAGAAATATTAAAATTAAAGAACAAATATGTAGGTGAAAAGCAGTGCAATTAATACAGCCTAGTTTCATCCTTTATATGATTGCAGTAAATGAATAATTTTACACTTTTAAATTCAGGGGGAGAAAACCTAATAAATACTGTCATAGGCTCCCCAAAACACTGCAACACAGACAAAAATCTCCAAATGGAGATGTTAGGTTGGGTCAGTGTAACATTCATTTATTTAATAGATTTTAAAAGAGTTAATTTAGGATGTTGACTGAAAATCTTGCTCTGTGTCACAGTAATAGCACAAGCAGGGCAGCCACACACTCATCAACATCCTGGGGCCAGCACTAAGGCTAGACCAGTTAGTAAGCTTCTGATGAACTAAATGGTAATTGATTGTGACATCAATTACGAATAATCTCATCATTTTATCAGAAAAGACTTGTCAAAGTTCTAATTAATATCACAGTTCATTCTATGCGCAGGCAGGATTCACAACACATAATATTGTATTAATGACCATCACAAACCAGCCAATCCCTCCTTATAATTTAAACATTAATAATGGTGACCTTACAATGTGACAGAAGCCTTTTAATATGGACCACATATGAACATGCTAGGAATTCAACCATAAAGAAATTCCTTTATATCAATCATACTAACACAACAGCAGTTGTGGACTTGTATATACTGTGAAGTTAAACATTTTAGAACTTGGAGATTAATTTCTAAAATAAAAGAATGAAAATAAAAAAATAAAAATGATTCCTCCTTGTCCCAGAGGGCAAGACCAAAATGAAAGGAAGAGGTGAAACATGCAGAGGAAAATTGGGTTGGCAGAATGAGATGAACTGGATTGAACAAGGGGAAAAAATGGAAAATTTGGCGGAGATGGAACAGCTAAGCGGTTTGAAACTGGAGAAAACAGGCACTGGAAGATTTGTTGGTTGGAAGATGGCAAGACAAGGAAGAGTGGTTGTTGAGTGTGTTAGGCAGAATGAGAGGTTGGTTGTTGAGTGTGTTAGGAGTGGTTGTTGAGTGTGTTAGGCAGAATGAGAGACAAAAAGAGGTGAGAAGACTAGCTTTTCTGAAGTGGTGGAGGTGGAGGACACAAATCCAAACTCCATTTATCCTCTGAACAGGAATGCATCCATTAGTGCTTTGAGATGGTGATTCCAGGTATTTTACCATCTCTACACATATCTCAAAAGCAAAAGGAAAATATGATTAATACCCACTTAAGGGGCAGGCTTAAATGTGCTTCCAGGTGAGAGTATATTTAAGAACTGACTCCTTGCATCCTTGGAGAAAAATAAGTCAGTTTCAAATGCCAACTTGAACTTCATCCACAACTTTCCCAGGGGAAAGAGGTCCTCCCTAATATTTTGCTCTACCATTACCTAAAAAAAAAGGTCTGTGTCAAACGAAGCAGTTTACACAAGACTAGAAAATAAAGTATCTTCAAACCCTAGCAATCAGCTGGAGGTGTTACTAACACATTCCTAATAGCACGAAGAACCTCCTTAAAAAAGCCAGATGATGTCTGAGGAGGGGAGGGGCTTATTATTACAAAGGCATTAGGAAATCATAAAGACAAAATACAATTTCCAACATAACCAGAGAGCATTAAACATATTGGGAAAATGCCAGTATCTGACAACCAGTCCCCAAGGAATTAAATACCTAATGGATAGCATTAGGACAATAATGGATAGGGATAAAGGGTTGGCTCAGTTTTGAAGTTAACAGAACAGCCAGAGTCAAAGTAATTTTATTAAAGTTTATAAATCCAAAGATAAAACACTACTACAAACAGAAAATTATAAAAAGTAACAAAAAAGATGTAAAGAGATAGAAAAATATATATAAAAGATGGCTCCTTCACTCTCCAGACAAGTATAAACCATTTCAGTAACACCTTCTCTAATATTTCAATTAAAAAACACCTCTTATTCCCTTGTCAGTAATCTATTTACTGTACTAATCAACAAAAGTCTACTGAGGGCTACCAGAAATAGTAAGATACAGATTTTAACCTTCAAACAAATCCATTTTATAATCCAATCACTTTCTTTAAGAAATAAAATAAATCTCTTCCCACTTATAAACAGATCTTTAAAGCCTTGTCATTTGGTCCTGGCCCAAAAGAAATCTCATTAATAGCTATCAGAAACCACAACATACATATTTTAATCTACATATAAAATGTACTTTTAAAAACCTTGATCTTTAATCCTGTCAAATAAAATCCTATATGTTGATTTCTTATCATTTTCTCTTTGCCTCCTTTTAGGAATGGCTTCAGTAGTTTAACACATCCTTTTTGTAAATCCAAGATTAAAAAAAAAACTTTCCAAATCATTCTCCTGATTATTTGTATATCCCATTAATAATTAAAGACATTGTAAATCCATCATGTCATCTCTTCCATGTCACTTTTGTAATATGGCTTTTTTAAAAGTTCAGATCCAGATTCAAATCAGCCTCAGCCTCTTTTTTATTCAATAGAATTTGTTGTTCTTTTATATCCTGTATTATAGTATCAAGCAAGTAGTTTCTGAATACATTGTTCCTAAATAGCCTTAATTTCTTCTATAGTCAAATAGTATTGCTCCATTACTGGATTACTTCCCATTTAATTATATTTAATTCTGTCTAGTTCCCTCTAGTCAACTTTCAAAGTCCCTTCTAATCATCTGTTTATTTTCCAATCAGCAAAACTCCCACAGGAGAATTTCTTACATTAATTTCAATTTCAAGTTCTTTATACATTTATTTATAAAATTTTAAATTCCTCATAGGAAATATCTACCTAGATTCTTAACTTTCCAAAATCCACATTATAGTTCCTCTTTTGCAATTTTCCAAAAATTAAAACTTTCTAATTTTTAGATTTATATGAAGCTTCTTCTTTCATCTAAGGCAGAATGAGATTCTCCCGGTGTGATAAAATCCTGACTTTGGAAGATTCTTAATTTCTAATAAATCAATAATAAGCAACTTCTTAAGTTAGTTAAGAGAGGAAACGGGCAAACACAGTGACTCTTTGAAGGAGCCAAATTGTGACTTACACAAGCTGTCTCCCCCTGCCCAGAACTCTGAAGATTGTTCTTTTTTTACAAACTCTTTGGAAGAGGATTCAATATGGAGCAAACTTGTGGGTGAGCCTTGACCTCTCCTTGATGGGGAGAGGAGTTCTGAGGAGCCAATCCATTCATTAGTTCTTCTATACCCGGAGGTTTTCAGCTCTATAAAAGTGAAATTGTCTTTTATCTGCCACTGCAACCCTCCAGAAGCCCTGAACTTCACATCACTCACAGCACATATAAGTAGGAAAAAAATGCAGTTCTTATCTGTAATCCTCCCCCAAATCTTCCAAGTGCTGTGTAATTTTTTAAAAAATTAGCTTCTACCAAGGTAAGCAAATTTGGGTTCCTTCTTTTATAATGTCCTTCCTATTCCTGTTCAATGCTAAATTATTTCTCTTCCCATTCTAAACCACTCACCAATGAAAACTGTGCTCGTTATTGTTCATATAATCATGATGTCATGTGTCTGATTAACGAAACACTTCAAAGAACCTTCAGGCATTTTTTTAACCTAAAAAGCCTTTATTAGTGTTACAGAGATGTCAGCACGGCATGGTGGAAATGCTAAGATATGAATTTCCCTTCCTTTGCACATAACATTCCAGGCATTTCCCCTCCCCTATTTTGGGGTCATGATTCACATCTTCCAATTAACTTGGAGGGCAAAAATTTACTTCCGTTTCTTCCCCCCCCCCCTTTCCTTATATTCTCCTCCCCTTTCACTGTCACCTGATTTAACTCTAAAAATACCAGACAGTTCTGCATATATTGTCAAAGCAAGAATATTCAATATTAGCAGCGTTGACACATGAATTAGACATAGGAAACGCAAGTCCCTTGTGATTCCCTTCCCACCTTTAAATAAGAACTGATAATGCCTAGCACAACCTTCTGTAATCTAGATGCCCTTCATCTCACAGAATTATCAGCAATAATCATGCAGATGGGGAAATTTAGAAGTCCATACTTCTGCTGGACATCCAGATTGAAGAAACCTGACCTGAAGATTTAACAGATCTTATCACAGAGATTATATTAACTGTGCGTCCCCCGCCCCTAGGAAATTAAATAACAGGTTGAGCACACTTATTTTTAAACAATCATGTCTTGGTTCAGGGATAGATAGACTCAGACAAGACACAGACCCACTAGGAAAATGTCATTTATTATAATAAATCAATATAAAATAAACTTGACTCTACATTCAATAGTTGGCCTTATTTTTGCTCTCTTATTCTAATATACTTATATAGCATCCATCATCTTACATAGCTTTCTTACACTGTAAACTAGAAGTATTGCTGTTACAACTTGTTTTCTATTTTTCAGTTGTCTTCTTTTGTATTTTTCTTTATCCTATAATTCTAACTTTTGAAATCCTTATTTATTTACTCTCCTCTGCCCATCCGTAACCCCCAATTCATCTGCTCATTGATTCCAGTTGACTGGACAGCTGCCATCTCCTCTGCTAATTTTTTTCCTAGCACCAACTGTGGAAAGATGAACTTTCCTGAAACAAGAAAATGTTACATGCAACTGTCTAGGTCAGTTTTTTTTTCCTCTGTGGTGGTCAGGTGCACAGCTTGGATATGTTGGCAATTCCACAGTAAAGAAAAAAAAAGTTTGAACTCTTACGATAGAATCACTTGCAAGCTGGCCTGTAGATTTCAAAAGAAAGTAGTATAAAAGAAGCCACAGTAGGTAGACAGAAGGGGGTGGAGGGGTTTTCTTTGTGTGGTGGGAGATGCTATTGGAGTGAGAGGCAATCGGACATGGAACAGAAGAGGTGACAGCTGAGAGAATGAGGATTAGATGATCCACAGCCAGGAAGAACTAAGAAGGAGCTTGGAGCAGCTAAAGCCTAAGAATGAATCTACAAAAAGAGCCAGGGGGAATCCAGACTGTGGTTAGACTCCATGAGGTTCAAGTCCTAGATATCTGGCCGTGAATGTGTTAAGGAGACAAAATATTAGAATTTCTAACTGTACCAATATAAGCAAAAGTGTAACGAGGAAGAAACTAGCAGCTGAGTATTGATCTTATAAAGTGAAGGAATAAAATTTAAATACTTTGGTTAATTTTTATTAGTAGACTATATACTTAGATTTATTATTGTACATATTCATGCTTAGTCGCTATAGATATAGATATACTTATTCACTAAGAGTCTTGAAAATATATTTTGCACTAAGCTTATAAACAGCACTGTATAAACTTGTCTATGTGTCTGATTTCATTCCTATCCATTCATATGCTCTGACACCAATAAGGATCTACTGTTGGTAAGGTGACATGATCAGGTATAATACTGCTCAGATCTCCTGGTTTCTTTCTGGATTTTTTATTGCCTCTATTGATATGGGGCAATATCTATATTGTTTGGAGCTGATCATCTGGATTATTTGCAATGCTGGGCTCTTCTGGCTTTCGTATTTTTGGAGGTCCTCCAGAAGCAATTCTCTGGCCACCAAAATTGCCATTCTTCTGGCTCTCAGAGTCTTTCCCCTCCCTCTACTCAGCTGTTGTCTCATTCAGTTGCCTCTCTCTATCAGTACTTAGCTGCCAGTCTTCTTCAGCCATTCTATGTAACATTTAGGCTGTGCAAGACAGGCAAAATAAGACTCTCCACATTCTCCTCCCATCCTCATTTTTCATGCTGTCTAAAACTTTCAGATATCACTTGGCTTATTGTGGCTCTGTGGTCCAATCCTGAATCCTGGCATTCTGTGAAAAATTGTCCTAAGTCACTTTTTTCAGCGCTGTTGTAACTTCAAATGGAAACTAAATGAATGGTTGTAAGTCAAGGACTACCTGTACAGCTCCTTTTAAAAGAGCCCACTCACTCATTGTTCACAAGGCATAGGTGAAGGGAAGGATGCAGGTGCTTTCCTTTCCCTATACCAATTTCTCATATTCTCTTTTCACTCACACATTGGACTGCCTGAAAGAGAAAGGACATAATATTTTGTTTGCAGATTGAAAGTGCTGTGATTATCATGTGATTCTTCAGAGATGATTTTTTTAAATTTTGCTTCAGATCCAATTTAAATTGGAATATTTTCCAAAATACTGAAATAAAGGTAATGACTTGGCCACATCCTATTAAGTACTGACTATTAAAGGCTAATTAATCTATAGTTATCACAAATTGCTGAGTAAGACCTGTTCTCAAACATAACACAATTTTCAGACTGTTAGCTTTAGATATAGCCACAGGATGATGGCGCACCTCATCTCCAGAATGAATTTAACTTCAGCACAGAGTAAACATTTTTCTCTATCAGCTGTTGCTAGGGCATTAAGAGTGTGCAGTAATTGACCATCAGTGAAATGTTGCTGAGAAATGAAATTGTTTATCAGCTTTTTATCGCTATTTGCATAAAGCAGTTTTGTTAGTATAGATCTTGCCTGCAGTAAATGACATGTCTTTCTTCTGTTCAAGTAACAACTTTCATTTGTAAATAGCAATGAGACCTGAATAAATATTAAGTAAACAAAATACAATGTATATATTATTCAATTGCAAGCATATATAAAAATGTATTTGTTTTTTATTTATACTGTTCTAAATATCATGATTAGTGCACAATAAAGTACTGTAAAACAACAAAAGTATTCCAAAATCTATTTAATGTCTGAACTCTGCTATTCAGAGTATAATATGTAAATATACTTTGATTTAGAGCAGTGGTTCTCAACCTTTTTAATGCCGCGACCCCCAACCGGTCGTAAGTCGAGGACTACTCAACCGGTCGTAAGTCGACGACTACTCAACTGGTGCAGCACCGTTTGCAGAATGGGACTTTTGGCGGGCTCAGCAGGGCAGAGACAGCCTGGACAATTCCTATTGGCTTTTGAAAGCCAATAGAATTAGACTCTATTCAAGAGAGTCTATTCTATTGGCTTTCAAAAGCCAATAGAATAAAAGGGAGTAGCACAGCTAAGGAAAAGGGGGAAAAAATGGCGGACTGCATTGTTTGGCGACCTCCGTGAAATAGTCGTTCGACCCCAAATGGGGTCCCGACCCACAGGTTGAGAACCACTGATTTAGAGTAAATCATATTAGCTATTTAAACTTTTGATGTATGCTTTAACATCTTCTGTTATTAAGTACTTTTCAATCTTACGTCTACAAAAGTTTTTAAAAACTGGTTTAAACATATACATTAAATTATATATTAAAAACCAAACAGTCATATTTATAGAAAAACTGCATGTAAAAGAACAAGAAACACCTTAAGACTTGAGAACTAACTTCATCAGATGTAATGTTAAACAGTTGAAACTGTTAAAATAAAAAAAGATGGGTCCACTATTAGTAAATAAAAAAATAATACCATGATTGGAAGAAAGAGGTTAAAACAAGGTTTAAAAGAACAGATTTGTGTTGTATCATACTGCATTATATTTATAGAATGAACAACATACTGCTGATGTATTCCACATTTTTCCTTCAATATCCTGTCCACTCAAATAATGTATCATACAAGGTTCTATGTATTAAATCCAGCTATCATCAGCAAAATGCCAAGTTGTCCACATCACTACCAGGAAACTACATTTGGAAACCCTCCAATAAATGATCTATTAATAACAGCAACCAGCAGATGAATCTTTAATTTTTTGTGTAGTCTCTGGTACACAAAAGAATGACTACAACTAAATTTGTCTAACTATTTGACTGATTTTAGAGGGCTACAATGTTCCCAATTCCCATCCAATGTTTATTTCATGTAAAGAACTACTCCATTTACTTTTCTAAAAAGTTGAAAGCTAATGACTAATTAAATGATCGTAAGTGAAAGAGGTGAAAATTATACATTACTAAAGAGACTGGAAAATTTAAAAGTTAAACATCTGTCATATTAAGAAACCAGGATATACAAGGTTGAACTCTTAATATACTAAGACGTTTCACATTGTCATTAAGACTGTAACTAGTGCAAAACAGTGCTGATGCAGGATTGTTTCTGTTCATGTTTTTTTCCCCCCGCTACAGTCTGTATTGTATTTCAGTTCTTTTCTGAGGGGTTCAAAAGAAACTTTGCAAAAGGCTGACTAGAGGGAGAAAAATGCAGGAAATTCGTTTATGGTATATGAAATTTAATTAAAGGTACGAAAACAAAAATGCCACTACAAGACAGGAAAGATTTGAAAGCAAAATTAATACTTACATAACTGTGGGTCTTTATAAAATCTGCCGGATTGCTTGTACAGACTTTTTCTCCTTCCAGGCCCATTACTCTTTTACAAATATTTGTTTTGGGATCAGCTGGGTTTTTTGCAATGACAATATCACCTCTACGGAAAGGCCATAAGGGAAAGTCAGCATCTAGCAATTTGTTAGTGAAAAATACAATTTAACATTCCCCCCCAATCAGGTATTTGGTAAAAAATTATTTTAATGTAGCCCACATCCTCCAGGCACTTCAGATTATTTTGCTTTTGGTCTACTGAGCAAGAGAATTCCAGTGCTGCAGTATTAGAGGACAGATGAGAAGGTAGTTCTTTTTACCTGCCAACCAAAAGACTAGATTAGTGGTCTCTAACCTTTGCGGCTTGACGGCCTGGCTGGGGGAGGGGAGAGGGAAACTGGACGATGTGAGTGGTGGCCAGCATACACACCCATGCAGCTCAACTAGATCAACTAGCAGTTCCAGTCAGCCAATCACATGGCCCAATTTTGAATAGGCCACAACTTAGTAGTGGGTTGCGGCCTGGGGGTTGGGTTCCCTGTACTAGATAAATTATCCTATTTTGATAGGCAGTAATAATTCCATGAACATATGGAAACTTTGGCAAGAAGTAACTTTTATTTAAAATTCAAACAAAGCTAAGGTGACTTCTAGGACATAAGCTTATACTTGGAAACACAACTATTTCATTTTCATAGTTACTTTAAAGTCTTGTGGCTCACCACAAGCTATGTTTGAATTGTTGTCCAAAGCGATACATATCTGATTGTAAGTGTTTGGCTTAATGCATGCAACCCAGACTTTTATCATAGTGTTCAGCATTATGCACACATTCAGTACTCATAAACTACTTAAAAAATAGTATTATATTTACATTTCTGGAGATAACTGCATCCTGACTTTGCATCCTGATGATAATCTCTAGCTATCCATTACAAAATATGACAAGATAACCTTTAAATTTGCACTATGAAAGTACAGTAAAGCTTCCATCAACCACAAAATGTTACTCTTTTTGTAGAATGAAGATCTGAAAGTGTATGAATAATTCTAATATGGAAAATGATAACCAAAGCCACAAGTTCCTTAGCAAAAAGCATACAAATACTTGTTCAGGTAAACTATAAAGAATTAGAGCAACATACTTCTGAATACGATATAAGTGGCTGCTAAGATTCTCTGAAAATACAATGTCAGAATTTTGAATTGTAGGCTCCATTGAAGGTCCTGTACACTAAAGAAAGAAAGAAAGTTAAGATTTCCAAATCATTTCAAAGACTCCAAAATATATTTGTTAGTAGCTAAGAGTAGATGGAAAACAATTTCATTAATTTAAACTAATGTTACTAACAATATGGAGTGGTACCTTGACTGCTTTGAAACTCGTCAAATTTGGTACTCGATGCATTTTGAGGCAAAAAAAAATATATAACTTTTTTGAAATGCCTTTTTCTGGATTTTTTTTTTTTGGTTATTCTGTCTCTCACTGTTAAAATAAGCCTACCATTAAAATTATAAACTGATCATTTCTTTGCCAGTGGGCAAATGTACAAAATCAGCAGGGGATCAAATAATTTTCCCCCTCACTGTATTGGTATTTGTGGATTTTGATTCCAAAGTTCTTGGACTTTTACTAGAGATTTGCTAGAACTTAACAATCTCTGAAATGAGCTTTGACAGCTCTACAAGAAAACCATTATCTGACCTACATATTACTTTAACACAAATCCATGCTAGAGATCTTTGACTCTTTTACCTCTTCCTCTCACCACTAACATACATCTTCCAAGTGAGGTAGAGATAAAGATATCAAGGAACTGCCAAACAAGCTAACAGTAAACAGCCCAAGGAAAGAACCATCAAGGCCAGCCCCACCAAAAGTGATAGGGCAAGCAGCTAGAACATAAAATAAGAGCAAACCCCACTCCTTACTAGCACTGATGATGTTACCTAGTTCTGGTAATGAAATGTCTGCAAGAAAACAGTCAAGTTCAGAGAGCACCAAGGACCCTTCATTTCAACTAGCCCTACAAATATTCTCCTCTATTGGTTCTTTTGGGATATATTTTCAATTTCCTATCTAACTTAGTCTTTATACTAAGCTAGTTTCTCATCACATTATTAACCAGGCCTAATCTAGATTAGTTTCTAAACTGAGGCCGTATCAGAAAGATGCTATCTTCTGCTGAGATTATTGATACAAAGATGTTAGTAGACTCAAGAGTAACAAATTGAAAACTAACATATATTTGTTTTCATCATCAAAATTAACTTCTTTTAACTTACCATCACAATTCCTCCAAGATATTCAAATACACAATGGGCTATGCACCCGTACTGAATGGTATACCCCAGAAGCCGGAAAGTCTTTCCAATTACATCTTTCAACATAATAGTATAATAGTTGTGCAGTTGGTCCTGGTTTAAAGAAAAGCACAGTAATTATTCATTTTTGCAGAGAAATATGTGTATCACATATTAGTCAAGCAACACTTAAGATATGACTGTTATAAATCACTGTATGTTCAATCACAATGCAATAGTTTGGTCTAGAGCAGTGGTTCTCAACCTTTCTAATGCCGTGACCCCATAATACAGTTCCCCATGTTGTGGTGACCCCCAACCAGTTATACATCACTGGGTGCCAGGGGCCTGGCCAAAGAGAAGGGGGGAAAAATGGCGGACAGCCTTGTTTGGCGACCCCCGTGAAATGGTCGTTCGACCCCAAATGGGGTCCCGACCCACAGGTTGAGAACCACTGGTCTAGAGGTTAAGGCACAAAGCTAGAAACTGTGAGTTCTAGTCCTGCCTTAGGCATGAAAGCCAGCTGAGTGACTTTGGGCCAGTTACTCTCTGCCAGGCCAATCAATTGCACAAGGTTGTTGTTGTGGGAAAAATAGGAGGACAAAGGAATATTAGGTGTGTTCCCTACTTTGACTTATCTATGAAAACAATAAGGGTGAGATAAAAATAAATAATTTGGAAATATAGAGACAGAGAAATGCCACTACTATTTTTACAAGATCAATAGTAGACAAAAACATACCTAAATAAAAATGTTTTTACCAACTGGGGGAAAAAATCAACAAGAAAATGACTGCTAGTATTTCATATAGCAAAGTACTTATAATACTGATAACAGATCAAAGATGTATATCTTGTCACTCTTAACTGCTTTTACACCATTTATGGCCTTAGATATTAGTTAGTACTCAACATGCATAATATATGCACATATATATTAACATTCTTGTCTTTACATTTTAGGCCAAGTCAACTTTCAACGATTCTTTAAAGTCAATGCTATGTAAAGTTTTTTTAAAGTAACTCGTCTTGACATAGCTAATGTATGTGGAGTGGGAATGGATACACTTAAAACACAACTGTCATCACTGGGCACTTCTGAACACTGTTACTAAACATCTTCACTTTCATAGCTTCCATTCATAATTATTGAATCTAATACTAATTTTTATTGTAATGGATCTCATTACGTTAGATCAGGGGTGTCAAACTCGCAACGTCATGTTACGTGCCGTGACGTTTTTTTCCATTGCCGGCAATGGGGTGGGTGTGGTTTCGGCATGACGCATCCGCCTGCAGGCTGACAGTTTGACACCCCTGCATTAGATTAAAAATGCAGAAATATGTTACCTGTGTTAGGTATATCATATTCCTTAATATTCTCCCAATATCCAAACAAGATGCAACAGAATTAGACTAAGCAGAGACATATACAAAAATCTCACAACTTAATCTGTAATAATGATCAGCAAAATAATAACTAAAAGCATTTTACAGGGTATTTCTAAGCACATTTTCATCTAGTGGTGCAGGAGAATGAGCAGAATAAATGTATAAAATTCTACTTAAACATCCATAAGAACAAAGAGGGACTAACATCAGATATAAACCAGGGCCAACCAAGTTATTTCAGTCTTCAGTAATCAAATAATATTTTAACTACACTGAAATGTTTATACCTAATCGATTTTATGAAAGAGTCTTTACAATAAAGATGTCACCATACACTGTTTTATCATGTTGGTTCTTCTTTTGTTACTATATATTTTTAACTCTTGTTTAATGCCCAGTGGTGGGATTCAAATATGTGAACAACCGGTTCTCTGTGTGGATGCCGCTTCCGGAAGTCCATTCTGAGCCTTGGCAACAAAAAATTAGCTAACCGACTGAATCCCACCACTGTTTATGCCCCTTTGAGCAGTTCTGTGACTATGTCAATGTTCCTTAAAAATTAATTTAATACATCTAGTTTTAAATTCAACTTTTTGTTTTGGCTTATAGATAGTCTTTTCTCACATTAAACTATGATTCCATCAAATGACTAGAATATCTTTTTCATCATAGTATGGTATAGTACTAATTACATTCATAGTTTATTCTGCAATCTCATCAAACCAGGATAAGTATGAATGAAACCCTTAGTGTCAAATGACTAACATATTCAGTTTAAACAATTTTTTTTCAGGAATAAAAGAAAAATTGTCAGGAGATCAATTATTATCACAGGACAGTTGGAATGAATCACTATAAAGTTAACTATGGGTGGGTATAATGATAAAATATTTTTTTCATTTTTTATTTACTTATTTATTTATTTCTCCTCCATATGGATAACCTTGCTGCAGGGGAGGGGCTTGTGTGTTCTGTTAAGATTTGGAGCTATTGTGGAGTATACCACAAGGTAGTATATCAAAAGGGTCGCCCAAGCTAGACAGGTCTCAATTGAGGAGCCAGACTAAGAGTATCTACAAACCCATTAACATAATGAGACAACAGAAAAAGAATCCTATACCAGATCGGTCGTCGCCCGGGTTAACAAGGACCATGGCAGTTGCTGTTTCTGCAAGCTGTTGAAAAGTGAGTTGCAGAGTTGGAGAAAGACCTGACAACCTAATCCACAAAAAACTTGCCAAGAAAATTTTATAGAAAGGTCTCAAACATGTCAGATAGGGTGCCCAACAATAGGACAACAGGATTCCCAGTTGCTGAGGCAGCCAGTGGCATAAGCAAATGTCTGTGTTGTATGGAGATACACCGGATGCCCACATGGAATGTCAAGAGGAATGAGTCAGAGTAAATTAGATATTGTCAAATGAGAGACGATCAGGTTGGAAATTAATCTCCTGTGGTCAGATAATGACTTTTTCCAGTCTGAGGATTTCACTGTCTTTTATTCAGGACATGATACTAAGAAAACAAATGGAGTGGCATTTATTGTAAGCAAGAAACTTGCTGGAGCAGTGGAAAGCTTTTCAACTGTCAATGACCAAATTATGACCATCAGAATTCATGTCAAGCCTCTCAACATTACAGTTATCCAAATCTAAGTCCCAACGACTGTTGAAACAAAGGGCTTTTATGGCATGGTCCAAGAAACTCTGACACAAGTACTCAAAAAAGACAACTGTTTACATTCTGGGTGACTTCAATGCAAAAGTTGGCAAACAAGCAGAGGCAGGCATCACTGGTCATTATGGATTAGGTGAGAGAAACGATGCAAGTGGTCATTTACTACAATTTTGCCAAGAAAAATTATTTAGGATCATGAATAGATATTCAAATAGCACAAGCACCGCTTATACACTTGGACCTCACCCAATGGACTTCACCATAATCCAGTGGTTCTCAACCTTCCTAATGTCACAATCCTTACAAACTCACTTCACAAATGTCTTACTTAACAACGGAAATTCAGGGCTCCTTGTGGTCATAAGTCGAGGACTACCTGTATTCCCTGCGGGGAGGCAGGAGGAGGGGCGGGGTTTGATCGCTCTCATTCTCTCTCACTTTTTCTTTTTCTCTCTCTGGTGCGCGCGCTCCGCCTCCTCTCCTGTGGCTGGAGCACGCGCTGGACAGGCCGAGGGCGCACGCAGGCCATTGCACAACAACCGCCTCAGCCCGGGAGTGCCGTGCATGCGTGGCACCGCCCCCTGTGCCAGGCGAGGCGGAGCTGGTGAGGCGCCGCCTGCGATTGCATCATGCGGAGGGCCACGCCTCCCTCTCGGCCTGCCTGCCCACCCTTGGCCGCGTCACTCCATACCGTGGCGCTTCTGCATCGTGATCAGCTGCCTCAGCAGCAGCAGCAGCAGAAGCCGCAGCGCCCACCTCGCCGCCCTCCTGCCCCACGCCTTGCTCCACGTGGCCCACCCCTCTTCCTCTGCCAGCACCTGGCCTCACCGCCCGACCCCACCAGACCCCGGCCTCGGTGCCAGCATGGATGGACCCGCCGCCTGGAGACGGATAGAGGAGCGGTGTCTCGGTTCCTAAGACCATCGGAAATATGTGTTTTCCAATGGTCTTAGGCAACCCCTGTGAAAGGGTTGTTCGACCCCAAAGGGGTCACGACCCACAGGTTGAGAACCGTTGCCATAATCAGTTTGACGATGTCCTATGCAGTCATTGATGGAACAGTTAAGTCCTTGCTGTTAAAACATATCCAAGTGCTGATGACGGTTCAGATCATGAATTGTTGATGGCAAAGATTAAAATTAAACTATGCACCATCAAAAAGGCAGTGCCTCCAAAGAAGTCTGATGTCACCAAAATTCCTACTACATGTACAATTGAGGTGAAAAATCGGTTTCAGCTACTGGACACTGCTGAGAAGACTTCTGATGAACTATGGCAGGAAATTCAATTGACCATTACTGGAATTGCAGAACAACACATACATAGGAAGCCAGAGAAAAAGGGCAAATGGCTCTCAGATGAAACCTTCAAAAGAGCTGAGCAAAGAAAAGCAGCCAAGGCAGCAGGCAACTGGGAAGAAGCAAGAAAACTGAATGCAGCTTTCCAAAGGGAAGCAAGGAAGACAATGAAGTTTACTGGGATAGAGTGATGTAAACAGCTTGAAGCAGACTACGTGAAAGCTTACATCAGGAATGCATTTATGCAAGTCAAAAGGATCTGAGCACCACTTACTGCTAGTAAAGGCATCATTAAAAAAAAGCAAAGGAAAGAATTGTCTGACAAAAAGGCATCAAGAATAGACAACAAGAATATACAGAAGACCTGTATCCAGATAGCAAAGGGGCCCAGCCTTAGAATGATGAGGAAAGAGAAGTAGAAATAGAACAAGACACTTTTGAGAAAAAGGTCATATGGGGGATGAACCAACTCTCAACAAGACTCCAGGTGCTGACACCATCCCTGCAAAATTACCGAGACCTGTATCATCCAAAGTCATTAGAGATTTGTGCCAGAAAATTTGGAAAACCAAAACATGGGCACAGGATCAGAAACTCTCATGTTAATTCCACTGCTAAAAAAGGGTGACTCTGAAGTTTGCTCCAATTATCACACAATTCCACTCATCCTTCATATCAACCAGATTCTACCATCAAAAGGGAATTACCCAATGTCCAAGCTGGCTTCTGAAGGGGTTGTGGCACCAT